TCCATCATGACTGTTCCTTGTTGGTACCATGGTTGTGAGTGTGACTGAAGCATGGGAATGAATGAAACAGCTGAAATACTCAGCAGGAATTGCGGTTTTTCCTGAGTGGCTTTTTCCTCAGGGTGGCAAGGTAAGAAATTCCCAGTCAGGAGCTTTTCAAAGGAAGCCAACAGATAAATCTTTTTTTCCCTGTGCTTCTCCACACTCCCTGCCTTATACTAGATTCCTGTCAGATTTGTGGAGTGCCCCAAATCCAAAGTACTGTTTATCACCTTTGATTTGACACCCATTCTCCTTTTAATGTCAGATTTTTGACATAGTGTCCTTGGCAGGCCCCCCCCCAGGGTTGCCAACCTCCAGATAGTGCCTAGCGATCGCCTGGAAATCTCCAGACTGCAGAGATCAGTTCCTAGAATTACAACTGATATCCAGAGAAAATGGCTGCCTTGAAGAGCAAATTCCCACCCATCCCAGGCTCCACCCACAAATCTCCGGGAATTTTGCAGTACGGAGTTGGCAGCCCTACTCCCCAATCTGGCTGGCATGATGCTAACATTTTAGTCTGGGGGACAACTAAAGTAGTAAACTATAGAAGAAGTGGTATCAGGATGAAGAACCTATAGAAGTTACAGGAAGGCAGGAGCAGGCCGGAGCCAAACCAAGCAGCCTTTGTGGTGCTACAAACTAGCACTGCAGGGCCAGTCAGCTCAGTGGAGCAAATAGCTCACCCATTGCCTGGCAGCAATGCAGGAGGAGAGGATTGGTGATCTGACAACAAGTGGCATTGCTGATGAAGGATTTGTTTCAACAGAAGACCTCGGAGTTTTTTCCTTTTTCTTTAAGAATCCCACCGCTGAATGGATAAGGAAGTAGCTTTTTATGGCAGAAATGGACAAATTTACAAGGAAACTTAACAATAAAGAAGACGAAGAATTTTTCGCAGACTGGATGGACTTTAAAGAATATTTAGAGAAATATTGGGATGTGAAGAAAAACTTGTTTGGCTTTGATAACTATTAAGAATAGAATAAGGAATCAGTAGAAGTTGATTATAGTCAAAGAAAATGTTACCTATGAAGTTGATATAAGAATAAGATAGTTTAAGGAATTGCTACTTAGTAAGTTTTATCTTAGAGGAAGGGATTAATAAGAAAAAGAGATACAGAGGGGGTGGGATCACTGAGGGAAGGCTGAAGAAGGGGAGGGAGGGGGAAAAGGAAAAGGGATATAAGATGAATGATGGAATGTTATAATACTGGACATGTTGATATATCCTGACAATAAAAATGTTTTTTTGAATCCCACCGCTGCCACCATGTATGAACCAGGAACTACACTCTCGGTTCTTCTGCCAAAGCCTGATAGGGCTCAAGGTCACGAGCTGGCAAAGAGCAACTTGTTTCTCTTTATCAGCACCCCAAGCACCTTGCGCTTGAAAAGCTCACCTCTCCAGTGTCCGGTTCGCCTCTGGGAAAAGGGAGGGAGGCACCCATTAACAACGCTGCTCCACAATTCAAGTCTTGAAAGGTTCAACAGAATTTATTGAAGATGATTGCTAAAGAAAAAGTACTAATAACTGCACCATAGCAGTGAGTATCAAACATACCAACGTTCACAGAGTTTCAGGCTCTCTCGCCCCTCATAGCCTCGAAAATAAGTTAAGTTTTTTTAAAGAAAGACATCCGATATTAAACTGTCTGACCGCCACTCAAGGCCAAGTAGCTAATTATTGTTTGCAGCTGTGGAGTTCTTAAAGAAAAAGGAAAAAACTCTGAGGTCTTCTGCTGAAACAATTCACGGGGGTGGAGCTGAAACCACTTAGAGTGTCTATTTCAAATTAACCATCTAAAAGTGAAAGGAGAAGCATGTGCTGCTTCCATACAAATGGCCTGTCACAGATATGGCCAGAAATATAGGGGAACAGTGCTGGACTTGACAAAAACGTCACAGAAAACATCTCGGTGCGTAGAAACAGACACTGGCCTATTAGTTAAACAGGCCAAAAAAGAAATCCAGAGTTGCAGAATAGGATGGCCTTTGAGAGGGCCAAGAAGATGAAGTAATAACATCATTATATGGCCTTGTGTAGATAAGAAGCCATTAACCATTGAAATTCTGTTTTAGATGTTATGAAAGGCAGTATATCGAGAACAGGGAACGGACTGTATGAAAATCACAGTGTTGGAAGCTACAGGGAAATGGCTGAGTTTACCTTGGTGATGGTATTGGTGAAATCCAGCTTTATTGGCTTAGATGACATCAATATGCATGTCAAAGCTAGAGCTTTTGGCCCATTTTACAATTTCTTGGTGTCTGCAGTAACCATCTGGATCAATACACAAAGCAGGATCTATACTAGAAAAAAAACAGATTTTTGTTTTTGAAAGCCATTACTAAATGCAAGTGCTCTGGTATTTGGCAGCAAATCTTAAGAAGACTCAGATCTTTTTCAGTTTAACTGTGGTTGGTAAATGGAACCTACATGTTCAGAGACAGCATTTTATTGAATACTAGGTGATTGAGACAAAGCACAAGGAAAGCCTGTTGCCTTCAGACCAAGTTTTGCAAGCCTCCCGGAAGTATTTGTCTGGTCACCTTTAGAAACAGAAAGCTGGATTAGGTGGACATTTGGTAGCTTGATCCAGCAGAGTGATCTTATGCCTCTTTGCTTAATTGTTAGGTTGCTTTTCAATAATAAGATATGTTCCTGTGCCAGTGTCACAGCAGTAGATCAGTCAGATTGGGTCCAGAATTGTTTGCGGCATGAAGGGATGTTTTGGGGAGAGGTATTCGCTCTGTGTCTTGAGAACAGCTCTGCTGACAGTCTGAATTGGCTTTCAGGCTGTTGACTAAGTAGCATCTAAGCATCCCTTCTCATTGTTCTGGTGACACAAGTTTCTCTGGCATAAAGGGCACAACTGTGCTCTTATACATGTCCCACAGCTTCCACAGGATTTAGAGATATTCCCAGTGGACTGTGCCCTAATCCACTATAGAGAGAAAGGAAAATATTTCAGCAATAAAGGAGAACATTAAAAAAGAAAGAAAGAAACCTGTGCAGTTTCAAAGCACTTTTGAAAACATGAACTAATTAGCAGTCCGCCTCTGCATAGAACAACTTGATGCTGAGAATATTATTCTTTGTAGAATAAGGTTCAATTTTGCATCTGGGATTAGTTCTTTAAAGATAAGCTTGCTTTATTCTTATGACAATTATAATTAGCTCTTAATAAGGGTTGTAAGGGATTTTTTAAAAAAAACTTAGAAGGGGCTGTGTTCAGTTCATCGGAAGATAAGTGTTCCAATGTAAGATCTTATTGTTAAAAAGTCTCTAAAATATTGATTTAAGTATATCTATATGTTTCTTCCCCCCTCCTGCTTCTTGCACACGAGCATGATATTTAGTATTCTAATTGCAGTTCAGTTAATTTTAAAGGGAATGGATAATGGCTGTGTCCCCTTTTATATATAACAATAAAGAGTGTTTGATATGCATTCTGCATCTTAATTCTTAGTTCTGTTTTCTGTTAGAAAAGATCTTTGTAAGCTTTTCAAAGACTTCCAGATTCCAAGGGATCAAGCATGTCATTTTACTCATTTCAATTTGTGTCAAGTTGTTTTAAGGGGAGCAAGACCCTTGAGAGTGGAGACCCAGAACTAATTTAAAGCCGCAGTAAGGTGTATAGAAATGGAAGGTGTCCCAAAAGAGACACAGCCAAGTCCCTAGGCAGAAGGAAGAATCTTTCCACAGCCTTCCTTCTGCCCATTTTGTGTATACACTGAACTCTCTCAGTCAATCAAGCCCTTTACGTTTCTTTTCTCTAGGTTTCCATAATTCAGTTTTTTCTGTTATTGGTACAGTCACAAGGCTATTTCAAACTGTATTGATATTGCAAACAAGAGAATGACTGTGTAGAACAACTTTTTTTAGAATGTTCCTTGAGTACTACTCGAGTGCCTCAAAGGGTACTAATGCCCAGTTAAGAAGATGATTGCCAGAAGCAATAAAGCAGGTTTTTTTTTAATGGCCTGTTATATAAGGGTAGTATTAAATACTGGACTTGAGGCAGCACTTATCGAACAGTGATTTCTTGTATTCAGCTCAGAACACAGCACACAAAACAACCCAGCAACAGTCCCCATTTATATACAGTCAAGAGCAGTCAAAACCACACCTCCTGACACAGTAATAACCAATCATAGCGAACACTACAGCATACCTTATTTGCATTTCCTGTTTCATTCTAATCTTCCCTGATTGGTCTGTTACTTGGGCAGCCAATCAGAGCAAGTGCTCTATCATACCGTACTAGCAAGGAATGGTCTCTTAACACAAGGCTCAGGCATTAGTTGCTTCAATACAACTACCTCTACATAGTAAGAGCCAATAACAATAATTCCCTCCAAAATATGCCCTCTTCTGATTGGCTCACAAGGAGAATCTCAGGATCCTTGCAGACTATGAAGCTTGGCAAGAAGTTCAGCCACAGTATTAATACGTAACAGGTAGTGTTCTCCTAACAATTTGACAGTTTCTTTGCTTTTGGTAACTGAGGCCTAGTTTTCAAAGGTTTCTTTTACACAGAAAAGTAAATTCCAGGGAGAAAGGCTGTGGCTTTTCAATCATGTGAGCTCTCACCTGTATCCCAGGCACAATTCTATGACCTCAGCATGAACCGGACCTGAGACTAACCTTTGTCCTAGTGCAGTAAAAGCCGTGCTTCCACTGATGTCTGTAAGTGGAATTTAGCCAGAGTACCTTTCCTTTGGGAATGACTGCATCCCAGTGGCATCCCTTTAAACAGCAATCAAATGTGCTCTTGTCCTTCTCATTTGGTTTCAGTAACTACCACTACAAATTGGCTTGACTTTTCTACCACTTCACTTTCACACGACAACACTTGATTGGATTGGTTTTCCTCTTTAGCAGGCTACCATGCTCCACACTTCAAAACTGGAGTATTGCTGAATGATTGAATGTTGTCTTTTTCCTCCTACAGCTTGACGAGTGAAAACAGAGTGGAGGAAAAAATGAAGCTTCTGTTTTTATTAGCCTTCGTGCTCCTGTTTCCTCAAAGCAAAGGGAACCCATTAAGCAGAGACGATGACGGCTACCAAAGAACATTCGAAGACCTGAAGAGGGAAATAGCTGGCTATTCAGACATTGCCAAGAAAATTATCGACCTTGCTGTTTATGGCAGGGCCCAGAATAGATCCTACAAAAGGCTTGCGCTTTTTGTGGACACTATTGGACCAAGATTAAGTGGCTCAAAAAACCTGGAATTGGCTATCAAGTACATGTATAAAGCTTTGAGGATGGATGGCCTGGAAAATGTCCATTTGGAACCAGTAAAAATCCCCCCCTGGGAAAGGGGGAAAGAGTCAGCAATGATGGTGGAACCTCGCAATCACAGCATTGCCATTTTAGGGCTTGGTGGCAGCATTGCAACTCCTCCTGAAGGTAACCAAGATTCATTTAGAAGAGCTATTTTGTTCATCCATTTGATCTAGGGTAAAATTGAGTGGGTGTACTTTATCAAAGGGTGATTAGTCCCCTTTGGTTCTCCTTTTTTTATCTACCTCTTTTCTAGTTCCTAAATTGCTGTGCACCACAGACCCCACTATATATGAGGCTTTTCACCAGTTGAGGTCTCTCTGACCAGCACTGTGCAGCATCCTGTCTTAACAAAAGGATAGCTTGAAGCAGGATCTTAGTGGTTGAAACTCCTAAACTTCAGAACTTCCTTTCTCAAGAAGTTCTGGAAAGTTAGAGTTACCAGATCCAGTTTCAGAAATTTCTGGAGATTGGGGAGGGGAGTGAGCTCAGTGGCAATGTGAGGCAGAGTTTCCAGGCCCCCATCAGACACAGCGGGTCCCCTGCTCTAGGGACCCTCCCCTGGTGCAACCAGCTGGCCAGTGGAGGACTTTCTGGCCTCAAAGGAAGCATAGGACCACATTGCCAGCAACTTAGTGATGCCATTTCCGGTGAGTACTGGAAGGGCTGTCGTCATGTCACTGGCAACGCAGGGACGCTCTGGAAAAACTGTATTGTAAAAATGACTTCTACTGTAGAATTTTTGCTCAAATACCAGAGCGCCCTGCTTTGCCAGTGATGTGATGATGTGACTTCCAACACTGGCCCAATCTTCTTTTTGCTCCCAGTAAGTCCTCCTCCACTCCCTGTTGGTTATCAGGGAATACCTGGCAACACTGATGTGCTGCCATAGAGTTCATTCTGTCGATGAGGAAAAAATTATTTCTGTTCAGCCACCATTATTTAAAGCAGAATATATTTCAATTGGAAATCTAATTATTTAAGACAGATTATATTGCCTTCCTTAAATTCAAGGCAGTTTAGAAACATCATTACCAACATTTTCAGAGCATTAATTCAAAATATTTCTACCCACATTCTCACTACTACAGGCTCCCGAGGTGACGTCCCACTTGTAATAAATCTCATTAAAGCCCATAAACATAAAAAATAACAAATAATCAGCATTAACAATAATAAGCAATTGAGATGAATAGTCATTAATAGTCATTAATGCCAATAGTAATTAAAGCAGTTACAGTACGATCTGAAAATCATTTTAAAATTATCTAACGGTCAGTAGTAGCAGTACAAGATGATAAGAACTATTTGGGATGGGAATCAACCAAAATCTCACAAAAAGAAGATCTAGTGCCTAAAGTAGAGCACCAAACAAAATAGCCATCATGAGAGAGTTCTAAAGCTGAGGTGCCACCACAACCAAGGCCCTGTCCTCAGAAGGTGGGTACACACTAAGCAGGTTGTGACAAAGTTTGTTGGTCAGAATTATTTATACCCTGACTTTTTTTTTCAAATTCACAAAAGGCAGCATACAACAAAAATAATTGCAATATCATCAAATAAAAACTGAACGGAATTGCAAGAATCTGTTACTAATATAAGGTCTAAGATCAGTAATGTCACAGTAAGGTAAAGGTAAAGGTTCCCTTGCTCGAAAGCCAGTTGAATCCAACTCTAGGGTTGCGGTGTTCATCTCCGTTCCAAAGCCGAAGAGCCAGCGCTGTCCAAAGACGTTTCCGTGGTCATGTGGCCGGCATGACTAAACACCAAGGCACACAGAACGCTGTTACCTTCCCACCGAAGTGGTACCTATTTATCTACTTGCAATTTCTTGCTTTCGAACTGCTAGGTTGGCAGGAGCTGGAACTAGAGATGGGAGCTCACTCCATCATGCGGCACCTGGGTCTCGAACTGCTGAACTACTGACCTTCCACAGCGTCTTAACCACTTGAGCCACCGCAGCTCCAATGTCTGAATGTCACAGTAGCAGTGTGTAAAGTAGCTCACATTAGAACTCAGATATCATCAACAGGAGAGCGTTATTAAGAACCACTATGAAACAGTCTACATACAAAAAGTGCAGTGTTTCAAAGAGAAGGGGAGGGAGGACAAGAGAAAACCAAATATACAGAAAAAAGGGAAACAGCTAGCCTAAGGGGATGTTTTCGTTTGTGTCCTAAATCTTTGAATGGGGCAAACCAGTGTGGGGAGAACACTCGGGGCACCACCATTGAAGGAACCGCCCCCATCTGTGATGCTTGACTCATTTCACTTTCTCAGGCAGTCACAACGGGGAGGGGGGTGCACTCTGATAAAGATAATGACAAGTCTGTAAGAGAAAAGAAGCTCCTTTAAGTTACCTGTGTTTGCTTGTGATCTCAGACTGGGTCTTACATTAAGCATCAGAAGACTATAGCTGTGCTCTGTGGTCAAAGACTGAAAATGTTCATTCTGACTGATCATCATTAGAAAGCTCTGTCCTTTTCTCTGTGCCCTTTATGTGTCTTCCTGTTTATAATATTGGTAGAGAGCCAGAGTAGTGTAGTGGTTTAGAGTGGTGGACTGTAATCTGGGGAACTGGGTTCGATTCCCCGCTCCTCCACATAAAGCCAGCTGGGTGACCTTGGGCCAGTCACAGCTCTTTCAGAGCTCTCTGAGCCCCTAAAAATAAGTCTAGCTTGCAACTAGCATAATGCTAAGAGCTTGAACGTGCAGCTGCCAGACAATCTTAGGGTCTCTTGGCTAGTCAACACATAATGCCATACAATAATTAATTAATTATAAAACTGGCTTTTTATTCTTAGAAAACTCAGAGTGAGAATCATGTTTTAAATCAGCCTTGGCAGAATTGTCCTGAAAAACAGCAAGCATCTTGAGACCTCCTTGGTGGTGGGGGAGTGTCTTTCGTTAATGCAGCAAGGAACTGTCAAGAAGAGCTACTGTTCTTTCTCCCCTTGATGAGCAATCATGAGCACATGTTATTATGTTTTATCTCTCCATGCAGTACATAAATGGCACGTTGGGATGAATTACCTGCTGCCAATCCTGCTCATCTGTTGCCGGAGCTGATATGTCATGCAGATTGCAGAGCCAGCCTGCAGAGACCTTGATTTTTCTAGTGGAAAATGAAATTTCTGCAGATACCTGGCTTCATTTCCACTGGCATCCCTCCAGCCTTTAGAATAATCCTGTCACTGGGACATTTCTTAGCTATATGGCTGAAACTCTTCTTCATTAGGAGCAGCTGGAGCCTCTCAGTTCAGCCACTTACATGCCAACAATAACAGCGGTAGATTTTTGCACTTGGTGCTCAAATGTGGCATGTTTGGCACTTTAGAAAAAAGTTGGAAGCCAGGACAGTCAGCCAATTAGAATTTCCTCACCTGTCTTATTCTGTTTCTGGAAGAAAAAGCCAGTCTCTCTTGCAACATTCAAAACCATCTCTCTAGCATATCTAATAAATTGTTAGAAGGAAGCCAGTGTGTGTGATTTGCAGAACAATTCTGCATCCCATCGTCTTTGATGGTTTTAGAAAGGGTATGGCTCCACTTAGGATTGCACTTCGTCTAGAAAGAATGAACTCATGAAGCTGCCTTGTACTGAATCAGACCATTGGTCCATCAAGGTCAGTACTGCCTACTCAGACTGGGAGCAGCTCTCCAGTGTATCAGGCAGAGGTCTTTCTCATCTACTGCCTGTTCCTTTTTTAAACTGGAGATGCCAGGAACTGGGGACCTTCTGCATATCAAGCAGATGCTCTACCATTGAGCCACTTCCCCTCCCCAAACTTGCAGTCCAGAGACATCTGAAGATCTGCAGGGATGGAATTTTTTCTTATAGTCTTCATCTGATCAACATCGTGGTACCTGCCAATCCATTAGTATTTCCACCTGGTCTGGATTGGGTCTCAGTCAGCTCACCTTTATGCAGTGCTCCATTATAGGTAAGCAATGATGGTGCAAGATCAGGATCGGAGAAAATAAGAGAAAGGGAATTGGACAACATAAGAAATAACTGTAGCACTGGACTTCACATTGCCTTTTTATTTATAAGCTATCCCCCTGGCCTTTCATCATATCCAGCATGGAGTAAGAAAAGAGCAAGATTCTGGAGGGTTCTGAGAAATACCAAAGAGATGATGAACAACCACCCATAATGTTCTCTAAAGGCCTCCCGACTAAAGATGAGTAGAGCTGCTCAAGTGTACAGTCCATCAAAACCTGCCAGGTCTTAATTATTATGTTAATAATATTTATATACTGCTTTCCAGTGTTCAAAGTACATTCTGGACATATTCTAATCCTGGCAACAACCCTGCAAATACTGCAACCCTGCAGTATTACCTCCATATTGCAGAAATGAGTGCTGAGGCAGCCCTGAGCCAAATGGAATGTTTTGCCTAAAGTCATTTAGTAAATTGTGGTCTGAACCAAAAACTTTCAGGTGGTGGTTGGTCTCTTACAGTGTAATCCTAAGTAGTGTTATATCCTTCCCAGGGCCATTGGAGGTAGGGTTGCCAGCCTCCAAGTAAAAAAATAAACACTTTAATATCGCAAGTGCAGATTAATTGACCAGTTTCAATATAGCAAAATTCATAAAGGATCACACTTGTTTGATACATTCACAAGGTCCATCAAATTCCTTTGTTAATTTCACAACAAAAATTCTTCTTAGAAATCATGCAGCTGTGCAATGCAACAATGGACACATCTGGATCTTGGGATTTGATCCTTTATGAAATTTGTTATATTGAAATTGGTCAATTAATTGGGGTCAGGAAGCAGGTTTTTTTGTCAACTTCTGCGCATGGAACAGGGGTCACTGAGGGTGTTTGGGGGGTATTTATTAATTTCCTGCATTTTGCAGGGGGTTGGACTAGACGACCCTAGAGGTCCCTACCAACTCTATGATTCTATGATACTATTTTATGATTCTATGACCATTTGAAATCAGACATTCTTCCTCAAGGTCACCTTATAATGAGGAACTGCATGAAAGGAAAACGAAACTTCAAGTATCACTCACAGCCACAGCAATGCCCGTTTCTAAATGAGACTTACCCAGTGCTCTAATCATTGGGTAAAGCCTGGAGATCTCCCAGAATTACAACTGATCTCCAGATGACAGAGATCAATTCCTCTGGAGAAAATGACTGCTTTGAATGGTGGACTCCGTGGCATTTTACTCAGTTGAAGTCCCTCCCCTCCCCAATTCTACCTTCCACAGGACCGCTCTCATTTCCCAACCTGGAGCTGGCAACCCTATTTGAAGTAAATGGGTTTAGAAAGGTGTAACTCTGCTTAGCAGGTTTACTTAGAATCATACTTGGGTCTACTCAATTTGACTTACTCCCAGGAATGTGTGGACTTAGGATGGTACTGCTAGGTATTCTGCTGTACCAGCTCCTCATTTCTGTGTGTATATCTGATTCTGAACTATGCTGGTACAAAGCAAGTGGATATGCGTGTGTGTAACTCATGAGGAACTATGATTGAAATATGGCTGGAATAATTTCTGGAGGGCATTCGGAGCCAGAAGCATCAGCTAACTACACATGGTGGTATCGTGTATAGAACTCTACAAATGTTTGGTTTGTGGATTAAAAGTACCCAGATAAGACTGCAATTGGGATTATATGAAAGAGTTTCAGACAGGCTCTGATTCTTTTTCATTCTTTCCAGAGTCTATGGGGAAAAACTTGCTTTTCACTTTTACTGATGTGTTCTGTGGCTTCTAGGTGAAATGCATAGAGGTGGAATTCCAGGCATCCATTATGACTTCTATATTTAGCAGCCAAGTCTAGTTCTCATCGTTGAATAGTTTCCACTTATCTCTGTAACGAATCCGCAAGATTGGATCTTAAGTGTTGTGGTCATCTTGTGAATGATTCCATAAAAGCCATGAAATGTGGTTCCCAAATGAAATGTTCGGTGAAAATTTATGTGCGATGAAGGCAAAAAAAGAGTTTAAAATAATGGTTACCAGCGTTACCTATAAACATTTATTTGCTCTCCCAGCCAACGGGTAAGCAGAGTGGAAATGCTTTTAGAGGTTTCACTTGCCTTCACAGAGCAGTTTGTTTGTACTGGAAATTCATAAGTGGGAGATTTCCATTTTTTCAAAAAGCTTACTGACAGTTGTTTCTGCAGTCAGCTTTCTGTTTTGTTTTTTTAAAAAGAAATCATGTTTCTGGTGTTTTTTTTAAAGAAAGGATTTGTACATCATGGCTAAAAACTGTGTTCTAAGAAAGATGCTGGATTCATTTCAATGTTTCTCATGCGAGACGGTTTCCCTGGAGGCTTCTGCCCTTTGTAATAATTGTTCATGTTGTTCAGCAGCAAGGTAAAAAAAACCAAAAACCCACACAGTATAATGACAATGTTTTGAAAACATGTACAAATCATTGTAGTCATGCACATTGTTAAGCCACATAATCTACCCTTTTAATTATTATTGATTATTATTACCCTCATCCCCCCAAAAGCAGAATTCAGTGTGCTGCCAGTTGGTCAACCAAGAGGCGAAAACTCTTCTGGGAGAGAGTTTTGGCAGACCAGATGTATCCCCAGGCTTCCTGTACTCTACCACTTCCTTGTCTATGAATACATGCAATAGATGCAGGCATTAGGCTTGCCAGCCTTCAATGGGGCCTGGATATCTCCTGGGATTACAAGTCATCTCCATATTGCAGAGATCAGCTCTCCTGGAAAAATGGCTGCTTTGGAGGGTATGGCATCATACCCAGCTGGGCTCCACCCCTCAATCTCCAGGAATTTCCCTGTGTGAAGTTGGCAACCCTAGTAGGCAAGTTGTAGCACATTTTGTATTCCTAAGCATCAATACCATAAGGAAGGTGAGGCCAGGTGATGGCTTTGGGTGCTTGTATGGGCAGCAGAGTGGGAGACAGAACCCACGGAGCCACATTCTACTAGAAAATTCTCTTGTACAAGTCCCAGTAAAATGAATAAAAACTGTGCACAAGCAGTCCACCTCTGTGCAACGTACATGGGCCTCCATGCTGATTATTGGGCGGGGTCATCTTGAGGTCACTAACTGGGCAGGGTGCAAACTGTCACTTTGATGTTTTCCTGTCGGGCACCAAGTAACATCTTTGGCCTGCACCCATCCATAACTCCAGTGATTTTTCAATTCCAGGCATTACAGCTGAAGTCTTAGTGGTGGCCTCCTTTGGTGAGCTGCACCAAAGAGCTAAAGAAGCAAAAGGCAAGATTGTTGTTTACAACCAACCTTATGTCAGCTATGGAGAAACCGTGCAGTACAGGGGACGAGGAGCTGTGGAAGCTGCGAAAGTGGGAGCGAAGGCATCTCTTATCAAGACTGTTGCTCCATTTTCTATAAACAGGTAAAGGCTTGCTGCTTGTTGTGTGTACGCTTCACCCCTTCCTTCGCTGAGTGTTGCAGATTGTCAGCATGCTCAGAACCACATACATTCTCTTTTTTTATAAGAAATATTTTATTTTCAAAAAGAAAGAATAAAAAAGCGGGAGTATTACATTGTCATAGTATCTACTCAAATTTCTCATACATAACATAACAATGTTAATTAAACTTTTACCATAACAAAGACTATCATCTTAGCAACACTTTATCTTACTAACATGTCTAAATAAACTACTAATATTTCTAGTATATATTTTCAAAAATTCAAACTATTGGTTATTTTTCATCCTTATTAAAAGTTTCCATCTATTAATATATCTAAACAGACTACTATTGTTTCTACTATATATAATCAAAGAATAATATGCTAACCAACTTCATGCTTATCCTTTAGAAGTAAAAACAGTATGTAAATAGAAACAGGAACAGAAGAGAATATCATTTTCCAATTTAACTTCAGTTATGATGTACTTATTACTATATTAGAGTCATCTATGCCTTCTTATAAATTCTTTTTTCATGTAACTTAAACCATTACATTATCTTGATGTACATATCAGAATTCATATTCCAGTTATATCATATTTCTATTTTCATATAAAAGAGAATATACTATAAATAAGAATAAAAAATAAGGTATTATCACTTTATGTTAAAGTTTATCAATATCCAAATTATTATACTCTTTCTTAATGAGTTACAGCGATATGTATATCCATTAATAATCTTCATATTTGAATTATATCATATTTCTATTAACTCATATTTTGGCATCTAGTATTTGTTTTATATTTATGTTAGCAATCATCATCTTTACTATTATATTGATTCAATTTCAACTATAACTCATTTTAGTCAATTACACATAAGCTAGGATTCCTTTTATCATTTTTGTTATAGTACTTGATCCTTTTCTTCTTTTTCTGTAGTCTTTTTTCATTTCAGTCATAATTCTGTGCCTTTTCTCTTTATATATGGAAAGATTTTTTCTTCTTCCCATCTATATTCCATTCTTAAAGTAGTTGAGGATTCCATTAGCTCTGTTTTAGCTTCTAACAAAAGTATATTCTCTCTTTCCACTTCAGAAATTGGAGGGTTCTCTTTGCCTCAAAAGATCATCCCATGCAATGAATCTTGTATATTTTCATTTGCCATTTCAAAAGTTGAAAAGTTTAGCATGCTTTTCATGGATCTGTTGTTTTGTGCTATGTAGCTTCTTGCCTTTTCTTTAGCTGAGGAGGTCATTCCATGAGCTGAATCATCTTGAGTGAAGTCCTGTTTAGCTTGAATCTGTTGTCTGTGTGTGTCTTCCCTCTTGGTTGTAGTTTCCGGTTGAATGTTCTGCTCCTTATCATAGAGTCTCTCTAAGGCTTTTTTGATTGCCCGTTGAATTTCATTTTCTGGTATCTCTTGGCATTGTTCTCAGGAAAATTGCATCTTTTGTATAGCATCTAAACCATTTGGGTTATCTGTCTCTTTACTCGTATTTTGAAAAGCCATTTTCGTACTGGATCAGTGTTTAAGTCTATTCAGCAAAGTCAGCAAGCTCTGTACTTCTGTTTTCAATGGATCTCACCAAGCTGACTACGTACATTCTCAATAAGAAGGGGTAGTTCTATTCAGAATCTCTTGCAGTATATTATTTTGTTGCCATTGTCCTTCTGTTGTTTGTTTTACTTGCAGCTTTGATATCTTGCACTGGTTTCTATCTGGAATCTCATTAGCTATTTTGGGAGTTTCATGATTCCATTAATACTTTGTATCATCATGGTTCTTTTGGTGGGGTGGGAGCATTCTATTTACCAGAAATTATGGCACACTCATTTTCTCCCAAGTTTTGCTTCAGAGTATTCAGATTGACTCTTGCAGCTATCTTAAGATGGGAACTGTGAGTTTTCATGTATTGCAATTTTACTTATTGATGGGGGATATTAATAAGGAGAAGCTGTGCCCCGAAGCTAGAGCGTCTGCTATTCATGCAGAAGCCCCAGATTCAGTCTTTAGGATTTGCAAATTAAAAGCAATATGTAGGAGATGTGAAAAACTTTGACCTGACACAGTGGAAGAGCATCTGCTTGGCATGCAGAAGGACCCAGACTCAGTTCCTGGCATCTCCAGTTAAAAAAGGTAGTAGGTGATGTGAAAGACCTCTGCCTGATACCAATGTTCCCTCTAAGCTGAGTTAGTGTGAGCTAGCTCACAGCTTTTTAGCTTCTGGCTCACACATTTTTGTCTTAGCTCAGGACGGATGGCTCCAGAGCAAACTAATGCATGCAGTAGTCAAATTGTTCGCTCAAAACTTTTACACGAGTAGCTCACAAAGAAGAAGAAGAAGAGATTGGATTTATACCCCACCCTTCACTTGGAGTCTCAGAGCGGCTTTCAAACTCCTTTCCCTTCCCCTCCCCACAACAGACACCCTGTGAGGTAAGTGGGGCTGAGAGAACTCTGACGCAAACTGCTCTTTCAGGAACAGCTATGCCAGAGCATGTGACTGACCCAAGGTCACATCAGCAGGTGCAAGTGGAGGAGTGGGTAATCAAACTTGGTTCTCCCAGATTAGATTCCGCACACTTAACCACTACACCAAACTGGCTCTCAAAGTTGAATTTTTGCTCACAAGACTTCACAGCTTAGAGGGAACATTGCCTGATACCCTGGAGAGCTGCTGCCAGTCTGAGTAGTTAGTACTGACCTCGCTGGACCAATGATTAGAGTCAGTACAAGGAAGTTTCATGTGTTGGTGTCCTATTTTTAATTATTGGAGGAAGGTGCTTCTAGTGCTTCAAAGTATTATTTCATTTGTCATTTCAACACTTTAAGGGAAGTCTCTGATACTTCTAGATTACAGAGGGAAACTGAGTTGGAGTGTCAGGGTCATCTCAGTGAGGTTCTGGTTTTGATGAGATTTGAATACAGGCATCTCACATTCAGGTAGGACACTGAAGATGCAGTGTTGCCTGCTTTTTCTCTTTAACAGTGTGATCCTAGGCAGAGTTACAACACCTGTCTTGATGTCAATGGACTTAGAAAGGTGTTACTCTGCTGCTGTTATTTTTTATCTCTATTGATATTATGCAGACTCACATTTGATAGCTGTCAGTGTCACTATTCCATGGTATTGGGAACTTCCCGTGAACCTACAATAACATATTTACCAAAAACCTGGATGTACAAGGCCCTTCTCTTCTGAGAAATATTGCTAGTCCTATCAAAATTCTTTAATAGCTGACTTTTGAAATTTTCCCTGGGGAACACCTGTGTTCTGAATGAGTTTTGCTGTTGGCAAAATGTTGATGGTGACACAAATAAGAACACAACGCTTGTATATTTGTTGTGTTTTTCCATGTTTCACTGTTGAGCCCAGTATTTAGCCTGTATCAGAATAAAAAAAATAAAAAAATAAAAAACAGAAGTCAGGAGTTTGGGTATGAGTTTCAAAGGCTAAGGGCACAAGCGAAGATCAGAGCTGTGACTGAATACCCAATTCAACTATTTTTCCCTCCAGTCCACAGTGTAGCACGCTCCGTGGGCTCACTCAGAGCATCTTTTCTGTGGCAACATCCTCTTCTTGTGTTAATGTTTGATGGGTACTCACCATGTGGCTTCAGGAAATCACATTCAGAATCTCACCCTTCCACATTCCACATAGGCCACCATCAGAAATCCTCACAGTGACCCATGTTACAACAGGGAGGGAAAATTAGGTGCCACAGGAGGCTTTTTTCAGCGGCATCCTTTCGGTGTTCTCCAGCCATTTCTGTGTAACAGCTGAGGAACGTTCGGTGGGAGTGAAACAGTTGCTTATTTTCACCCCTTAACGTATGAAAATTGAATCATGGTATTTCAGAAATGAGCTCTATCTGACATTTATGATATGCAAGTGGATTGTAAAAGAGCTGAAAATGAGCACGGTTCTTTCAGACAGACTGTCTGCAGTTTTGCCTGTTAAACCGGCTTAGCCTGCAGACTTTTGGTCCTGATTTCTTGACAACCAAGAGGCCTGGAAAATTGTTTTTGTAAGGAAAGCTAATGTTAATGGAGCCAAGAGGAAACTACATGACTGTTATTGTTGGGGTTTTTTAACTGCCACAGTCCTGTCCTCTGAAACAAATGTATGTGAAATGGCTTTATGCTGTGCAAGGCTGTTGATCCACTTTCTCTAGTCTTGTCTGCCATGGCAGGCAGCAGTTCTCCATGTCCTTCTACAGAGGCCTTTAGCATTGATGCTTAAGGTTCATTACAAAGAATTGTATCTGAGATTATGCATGAAAAGGGCACGCTTTTCCCCTTGACCTATGGGCTTGCTCATTAATTTTAATATGCATCTTTTAAAAAGAAGAAGTTTTTTATGAATGCAAACTATGTTGTTTGGTCTTGGTCTTCTAGAGAGTCTTGGATTCTGATGGAAACAAGCATGGATGGCTTCAAAAGGGAATTAGATAAGCATATGGAGCAGAGGTCCATCAGTGGCTATTAGCCACAAGGTATAGATAGGGACTCTGGGGCAAGTGATGCTCTGTCATCTTGGTGCTTGGGGGGGGGTCAACAGTGGGAGGGCTTCTAATGTCCTGGCCCCACTGGTGGGCCTCCTGATGGCATGGTATTTCTGGCCACTGTGTGATACAGAGTGTTGGACTGGATGGGCCTTTGGCCTGATCCAACATTGGCATCTCTTATGTTCTTATGTTCTTAACCATGGATCAAGAAAACATAACAGGGTAGATCTTACTGCAACAAGACTGTTGGTTTAGAGGAGCTTCCAGAGAGTTTGATGGAGATTCATGGGGTCCAGCAGACATGATGCAGAGAATAGAAAGCAGTGCAAGAAAATGCAGCCGAACCAACTTAGTTGCTTATTGTTCAATCTTAGTAAAAAGTTCCTTATGGTTCAATCTTGGTAAAAAGATAGAGATAACAAGAAAAGACAAGAGGAGATTGTCTGAAGCGTAAAAATCAAAG